GAGCAGAAATCACTCAGATTTCTTTAACGTCCTGAAGCATCAGTGGCCTTGTCAAAAATATGGGGCCTCAAAAGTCTGACCCAGTGAAAAAGCCATTGCTTTCACAGCACTGGCTTTGAAACAACTGGTCAGGGTCAGAGATAGCTGAGGTTTAGCTAGTGGGTCTCTTTCATGGGGCTAAAAGGAGGAGGAGGTGGAAGACTGTAGAGAGGAAAGGCAGTAGGTGTTCAAATTATTGGTAATGGGTAAGATCCCACCTGCTCCATATAGAGTGAATGAAATCCCTAGCGGTTATCAGATGTTTTGTGGAGCTCTGAGCTTGTCAGCCCCATAGCCTTTTGACAGTTTATTGTATGAGCATCTTGGAATATGAGACGGTGAATGTGCTGGAGTGTACCCTGCGTAGCGAGCAGTTTTACAACATCATGTACTGATGCTGAAAATGGAGCATCCCTGTTTTCCTACCCTATTCCCTGCCAGCATATCTACAGTGCCCCAAGTAATGTTGAAAATGGAAATCCTTACTCACCCCTATTTGCCATAAGGAAAAATGTACCAGAGGCTGTTTTTTATTCTGGGGAGAGGTCAAGCTACTTCTGCAAAATTTCAGGAAAACAAGTTCAAAACAACTAAACCAATAGGCTTGACCTCAAGAGGAGATGCAGAAAATGCAAACTGGCTTTCCAACTTACATGTCTGTTTTGGGCATAGATTTCAGGCTGTAGGCTTAAAAACAGTGGCTTTTTTTCTTCTATTTGCATGCTGCTCTTCCCCTCATTCCTTACCTGCATGTATATCCTGCATACGCCTGCTGTTTGAGACCTGTGCTCCTGAAGAATGTGTTGAATGTAGCAAAAAGGAATTGAGGAATTGCATACATGGGAATGTCCTGGATGTGAAATGCACAATAGTATTTGCCGATGGGGAGGTGAGGTTTTTCAGATCTCCACCAAAGACATAAACTGGGGACAGAGGCAACACATACACAAACAGTTATTTGCTCCAGGGAGGTGAAAGGCCTCATGTAGCATTCTAGACATGATATGCAGTCCTCAGCAATACCAGCTCCAGGCCATTCTCTCTCCACTCCGAATTTATTCCTGTTGTGAAAGGGACCTTTAAAAGCCAAATTGGTTCCCATGCTGTGAAACGGCACAGCTGAACGAAGGGTAGGAAGGAGTAATGTGAACAGGGCACACGTATCTCACACTGAAGACTCAACATCCTGAAGGAACATCTGCCTTCCCTCTGTGTTCCCTGGCATATGCTTTTGTGAGAGAGAAACTGAGTACTTGCTGCGTCTTAAATATACCCAGCTGGGTGACTTCCACCCCTTCCTTTGGGAGGCTGTTCCATTAGCCAAGAAAACCCGTTACTTGGAAGTTTTCCTATTGTTCAGCCTAAAATATCCTGCTTATTGTGCTAGACAATTACTGGCCTTGCTGGTGACATCACAGCATTTTTTAGCTTTTGCTCAGCCAGATCTATATGTACCATGACCCTTACCACCATCTATCTGTTCCCATGGCCTGCTTGCACTGCTTTTCTGTTTGCCTTGTGTTTTTCCAAAGGACCCTTGTATGTGCATACTTTATTTTAGGTTCCCTTTACAGCTGATGGAGAGGTGTCAACTTGAGCTCTGAACTGTTCTCTGTAAGAGGTAGCTGGTGTGCCTTGACTGTGTGGGAAACTCGGGCTCCTCACATGTGCACCCAAGTGTAACTCCTGAGAGCAGGCAGTGTGGATGTTTTTCCTTCCCTATGGCAGTGATTTAAGGGAGTGGATCATTTTACCTTGTGTTCCTCTTGGTTTTGTAGAAAAGGACTCTCCTCCAACAATTGGAGTACCCACGCTGTCCATAGTAGCCTCCACAGCAAGCTCCGTCGCCCTGATCCTGCTCTTAGTTGTGCTGTTCGTTTTGCTGCAGCCAAAACTGAAGTCGTTCCATCATAGCAGGTAAGTGTAGCTGGGGTTTGGAGGGGGTCAGAGGCATCCTGTTCCTTTGCAACAGAAACCCATTAAGGTACTTGATTTAGGCCTTCGTTTTGGAGCAACTTACCTCCTCACTTCTCTGCTGCTGTTCCAATTGCATCAGTGGCACCTCTGCCCCATGGTCCAGCAGCAGTTTGAAATGGTGGTCTGCAATACCCAGCTGCAGTCCCCGTTCTAACATGCCATCTGATGAGTGGTTTCCTTGCTCTTTTTCCTTGGCTTTGAATGTGAAAAACTATGATCCCCCCTAGCCTGGCTATAGATCAGTCTCCTGCCTCTCCTAGCCTTGGATAGCTACCGGAGTATGTGTCTGGCTATGTATATGCCTCTACCCCAGTCTGTTTGTGAGATCCTATGGACAGGAACTCAGGCAGTAATGCTGATGAGATACACATGCAGATCTGCCATCCATCCCTGCTGTGAGAGGAGAGCCCTCCTGGCAAATAAGAGCAGAGCCATGGCCATCCATCAGGGGGGAGTTTGAGAGGTGGGGCCTTGGAGTCTGCCCTTGTCTGAAGTCCAAACCACTGGAAGAGAAAAATTCAATCTCAGGACTCCAACTCCTGAGCCTAGGTGATTCACACTGTGCCAGTTTAAAAGCTGTCTGCCCCACCCCGCCAGAGGTTACCTGTCAGCAGCAAAGGTGGCAGAACAGGCAGCACTGGGTGTTGCAGAATATAGCGGTGTAAGAGGTTGAAGTCAACAGTGGTCAGAGCTCTTTTTTTTTTTTATCTGCCAGCTGTGACAGCAGAGGGCTCTGAGTCACAGTCTTTGTCAGATTTAGCTATGGAGGCAGGTGAGGTGGGAAGCTTTGTAACCTTTTCAGCTCTCGCTGCTAAATCCATCGGGCACTGTGAATTACAGACCCTGTTCATGTTTATGGCAATTCACAGTAGGGCAGTGAGGCTATGCTTGTTTGACCTTGTTAAACCACCATTCATGTTTCTGTCTGTTCTACTCTAAATAAGTCAATGGTGAGCATTAGAGTTCTGCTGTGCGAGGTTACTGGAGTTCTTGGTAACATAAATATAAAAATAAAATGCTCAAGTTTTTTTCCCCTCCCCCTCCATCCCCTCTTTGTTTCTTTTTTTGAGGCGAGACCAAGGTGTGTCTGGAGATCAGGTCTCTATCATGGTGGATGGTGTCCAAGTGGCCTTGCCATCCTATGAAGAAGCGGTGTATGGCAGCACAGGGAACTGCATTCCACCCTCGGATTCCCGAGTGCAGATCGTGCTCTCGGAGGGAGCTGGGCAGAACGGAGCCAGAGAGATGCAGCAGCAGGACCAAGGGGCTCGCAATAGCTTTGAAAGAGAAGATGAAGCCCCCGGACACTCTGGACTGTGCGAAGCCAGTGGCTCTCAGCGCTCTGAAACTGTTCTTGTGCATCAGGCTGCTACCTCTTCCTGGGTAGCTGGCATGGCTAGCAGTAGACCTGTACATAAAGAGGTCCAAGATTCAGAAAGCAGTGACATACAGAGCCTTTTATCACTCACTTCCTCCGAGGAATACACAGATGGTACGTGACTTGGGCGGGCAGCACTGAATGAGACTGTTACAAGAGCAGGTTCTGCAGTTGACTGCCTAGGATGAAAATGGCAAGAAATGCCCCTATGTATGTCAGGCACCAGAGGAACTTTTGAAAAGAGGTGTTCCGGTCTCCATGGCATGTTTCACAACTTAGCTGTGCAAGCAGTATTTAATACCTTCTTCTGAAGTATGTGGCACACTCAGGCTGGGAGCATAGGGCAGTCAGGAAAGACTGTTGGGGTTCTACTGCTTGCTGCTCTTGTCTTAACAGAGGATTTGCAGAGAAATGCCAGCCTCCAGCATCATAGTGCAAATGCAGTAACGTAGCTGTGTTTGTGGAAAACAAGTTGGAGGGAGTGGGAGGATCCGCTTGGACTGCAAGCCTTTTGTGATGTTTGGGCTGCTTCATTTTTAGGCTGTTTTAGTAAGCAGCTTACTGCCACAGTGCCTACAGTGCCGCAGCTTTGGCATGCCGAGAAGACCTAAAAGGGGTGTGCCTGGTCTTACTGTGCAGGGCAGGGGGGCAAGTCTGTCAGTGCATCAGTCAGTCAGTGCATCTCATGTTCTTTGCTTCTGGTCTGCCCTGACGGAGTGGCTTTGCAATGCCAGAGCTGATGTGAAGCAGCAGCTTAAGGTTGCTTCTGCAGAGACTGCTGTGTCTTAGGCAGGAAGTGTAACTGGCTTGTGGGTAGCTCAGGGCAGAACTTCTCCTTTCCATGGTGTCAAACCCTACAAGCCTAGTAAATGCCGTCCAGAACCCTTGCAGTAACAACAGTTAAAGGGGATTTCCGCTAAAGGGTGGAGATGGCAACGTGTCCCAAGATGGGCATTAAACCTCAAGTGCGTAAACAGCAGAAATCCAAAAGCGAAGCTTAACAAAACTGTCCACAGTGTAGACATTCGAGGATGTCACCTCTGCACGGTGTCATTTTTATCACTGCCTGGACACATGTATTGCCCCTAAGGCTTGTGGTGCAGTAGCAGATTGCCCCGTGCAGCAGACCATAAAGCTTGTGCTTATGGCTTAAAGATGAGGAAGCTACAGCTACTGGAAGAGGCTGCATTTCTTCAAGTTAGATAAGGGCAAGTGTGACCCTTTTACTTCTAACCATTCCTGTCACAGTAAGAAACATGTCTTGGACATTTTGAGGAACTAAAAGATTGATAAGGTCATGGGAAAGAAAGAAATTGTCATTCTTAAGGGAAGTTATTACCTTCCCCTAACAACATTGGTGAGGCTTTACTGAGAATACTGTACCTTGTTGTGGGACCCCCAGTTTAAGAGAAGTGTGGAGAAACTGGACAGGCTCTGGAGGCCTGCCAAGATAGCCAGGGTCTTGTGGGGAGCTACTGAGGGAGCTGGGCTTCTTTAATCCAGTGAAGAAGCAGCTGAGGGCCAAGCCAACCATTGACCACAATTTCTTTACAGGGAATTGAAAAGACTATGGAGCCAAACTCTTCTCAGGCAGGTGATATAACATGGGGCAATGGCTACAAGCTGTAACTTGATTAAGATTGGGCATTAGAAAAATATTTTGTGCTAGGAGGGTAGAGCAGGACCCGATGGGCACCCAGAGAGGTAATGGAGTCTGACCTTAGTTGTTTTCAAGGCTGGAGCTGGCAATGGTCCTGCTTGCAGGGCAGATTGGAGCAGAGTCCTCCAGAGGTCCCTTCTGCTGTATTGTGATGGCACGAAGACTACTGTGTTATCACGTTATGGAAGTGGGAGCCTGTCTTGCTTTCAGCAATAGTTTTTCTGGTGTGCATTGAACTGCAGAAGTTTGACTACTTTTTTTTTTTTTTCCTCTCCCCACCATTCAGATATTCCCTTATTGAAGGAAGCATGAGGCCTGCTGTGTTTGTCTAGCCTTCTCCCTCTTGGATTTCTTCCTCCTCCCCTCCCCCTGCCTTTGGGACAGAAGCACTCTGTGCAGCCTTCCCCGTCCTCGCGAGCTGTGCCCTGGATACCTCCAAGCAGAGATGCCCTCAGCTGAAGATCCAAAGGATGTCGCCAGGTTGCCTCCTGGGTGCACCAGTGGAGTTGGTGCAGCGCTGGCTTCCCCATTCCATCAGCATCGGGGGCTCAAGGAACAGAGTGGATTTGAGCTCTCCTCTCCTCTCCTTCAGCCAGATGTTTTGACAGCAGTCTCTGAAGAGCTGCTCTTTTCTTGTGCCTTTCTCCTCCTCACACCGGCTTTTTGCAGCTTATCAGCCTCTCTAGCCCTTCTGCTGCCCAGAGAGCAGGGCCTAAACCGCTTGCTCACTGGGTGCAGACACAGTTTATATATACGTATATATGTTATATAGGCTCTTCTTCCGGCATCCTCTTTGTGACAGGGCAGGACAAAATGCCTCACTGGGACTGAAGCTGGGCTTGGGAGGGATCCCAGTTAAGGGGCAGCTTGTGATGTCTAGAAGCGCCTTGGATGAGATGGGCTGTGTGACAGCTTAGCTGTGCAGTGACAGTTCATTGAGAATTGCTAGAGCGCTGAAGGCTGAGAAGTCCAACGTGTTGGAATACCCTCTGCCCCCTTCTCAAAAACCATCTCTGCAGGAGTCCATTCCTGAAAATCACTTTTGTCTCCTCCTTCCTCCTTGATTGTGCTGTGTTTCTAGAAGCTGGGACTGGGACTGTACTGCCAATATAACAACCCTTTCAGCTGCTCTGGTGCCAGAGCAGCTCCTGGTGTTAGGTTGTAGAAGAGCCTTGGAGAACGGCCAGCAGGGTCCAGAAAACTTGGAGGATGTGACTTTCAGTTAACCAACCCTCTGTTAACTGTGAGTTAGCCCTGTTCACTGAGGCATCAGGACTGGAACCAAATCTGTGGCCCTCTTCTTCTGAATAAGCTGTGTGTCTCAAAGCTTTTTCAGTTAAGGTGGTTCTGCACTAAAGCCTAGGTTCAGCTCTTCAGGCAGAGGTAACACTTTTGAGGTGTAATCTGGAAGTGGTTCAGGTGTTTGAAAACATCGAGAGAAAAAAATGCCTGTAGGTAATGACTGCCTAGTGCCGTTGGTGCAATCCCAAATTACCTTTCCAGCCACACTAGGTACCTTGGTACCTGAATCCTGGGTAGCTGCCATCTCAGAGGCTAGCGTGTCTTCCTAGCTTCATACAGCAAAAGTCTGCTGGTTTATCCTAGTGGGCCTCAGTGGGCCCACAGAGAAGAGCTTCTTCCTTGTGGCTGGGGGTAAGCAGCATTGCTGAAGTCTCTCCTAAATACAACGCAGTTACCTGTTGCTGGGAGGGAAGGTTGGCTACATTGACAGCCATGCCAGAGGACACCATAGCTTATTCATGAACCTAAGTTTCAAAGATTGTATCAAGTTCTAGTAGCAGGGAAAAGAAAACCCAAAAATACGTATACCTCTGTCCCAACAGTTATCTACAGCAGGTCAGAATGTCCTGGTTGCTGTTAACAGGACTCTCTTTTTGCAGGAAGCCACATTTGTCTGGGGTAGGTGATCAGATCATAGAAGCATTGTGGTGGTTGCAAGGTTCTTCACCGGGGAGGTCTGGACACTGTTCCATAGGATTGGTTTCAGCAAGAAGAGTTGGCTTCTTAGATGCATGTACCTTGTCCTAACTGTCTTGAAGTAACCAGGGGAGTGTTTGTCCTGTGAGAAGCTGCTAAATTTTTGAGTTGAAGGAGCAAAATGTCATGGCCTTACACATCATGTGGTAATGTACAGGTAAATCGGGATGCTGTCTTTGCTGCTTTGCTTTTGGTTTATGATCTTCCCCTTCCTCATCCTTGTTGCTCCAGGACCATACCATCACAGCCCTCAGTAGAAGTGACACACCACCTTATATATAAATCACTATGGCTTAGCTCCAGTTCCTGGAAATGGGGATTGGCCATAGTATCCAGCCATGTACCCACTGCTCCTGTTCCCAATTAGCTGTTAAAACCCCAGGACACCTGGGACACCACGTGCCTGTGGATGGAAGAATCCTATTTTCCCGATCCTTGTTTTAGAGGGATGTTATTAATTTAAAAATACCGTATTTTGAACTTCCTTCCCTATTGCTCATGTTACCTTGCATTAACACGAGGATTTGATAAATCCTATTTGGGTGGTTTGGGTATTTTTTGTCAGTTTGGATGGTGAAAATCCCACGTCATTTTACAGTGGGCTGCGGTGTCTCAGCTTCAAGCTTTGTAGAGGGCAAATGTTGTTTACACATCTGCTATTTTTGTATTTAGTTTTTAACTCCTACCTTGGAAATGGTCTAAGCTTGAGTAAAGTGGTCTCATTCACTGGTTTATCAGGGCAGCTGGAGGGATCGAGCGAGTGTAGTGGTAAGGGAGCGTGGAGGGAAGAATATGCAACTTCTTCCCTGCTACCTAACCAACTCGGAGCAGGAGGAGTTGCTCTTTATGCCTTTAAGGTCCTGTCTACTCAAACTGACCCTCAGCAGCCAAGGTGTAGAAGCCAGGTACGTGCTGTCTTCCTGCAAGGGACAGTGCTTTAGCTCAGTGTTGGCACTGGGTTGGGAGAATCCCACAACAAAGCTGGGAGCTGATCCCAAGGCCTGACCTTGCCCTGGACGAGCTCCTGCTCCGCCAGCAGGAACCACGTACGCTGTGGCCCTGCCTCCTCTCTCTGCTATTGTAAAGCAAGCAGCTGCCGGTTCGGGAGAGAAAATCCAATTTGGGTGGGGAAGAGAAGGAAGCAAGCTGCACAGAAGAGGGAGTGCTTTAATTTTGTTTCATTTATAGAAATTGTGGGAAATGGCTTTACTGAGGGAGGGGGGAAATGCGGAGGTGGAGGGAAATATGCAAGCATAGATCTTGTGATCAGGCATAAACAGGCAGCTTCTGTTGGCTTGCTGAGAGGTGAAATGCCCCAGCACTGGTGGGAACAGGCCCCAAGGACCCGTGCAAGCCAGAACATGGGCAACAGTTTGGGGGCACTACATTCCTCTTGCCCGCATCCTCAGCTTTAGAGTTTATTTTCATAAAAAATGAGGTAGAATGGCTGAGGAGGAACCAGAGAGACTTTTTTTTCAAGGGGGGTGGGGGAGGGGGAGAAAGGCCTCACTGTACTGATTATCAAGTGATTGCTGCTCATTTGTGTTTGTTTTAATTCTGCAGAGGCTGAAGGATTGGGAAGTCTTTTGGGCAGAGATTTAGGAAAAACTAAATTGCACAGTCCTGTCTTCGCTTATGGGAGCAAGGGCTGAGGCTTGAAGATCCCTCTCTCGGGAGCGTTCGTTACCTCTGAGCGAAGAGCGTGTCCTCTTTGGCTGTTGGATAGGTAGATGCAGCCTGGATCTCAGCGTGGTGGATGGGGAGCACAGGGGGGCTCAGCCTTGCAAGATGTAACACAGTAAAGTTTTGTTTTGTTTTTTCTGATGGGGCCGCAGCCTCCTTACCTTTTTTCCCCACCTGTGTCTGGCAAAAGAATTCAAAGGGAGGCATTTTTTTCTCAGACATAATCATCTCGTGCTCTGTCATACATGCTGGATCCTGCAATATTCAAGAACGTTAAGATGATTTAATTACATTGGAGAAATAAAACCAGCACTTATTTTAAAGGCTTCTGTTATTTTTGGAGTCTGATAGGTTAAAAAAAAAGGACATTTCAGAAATTCAGAATATTATGTGCAATAGAGAAACCTCCTTGCTCCCTTTCAGTTGCATAGTGTTTTGTTGTTGTTTTTTTTTTTAAAAAAAATAAAAAAAGGAACCTACTGCAGCATTTACAGCCCAAGCATTGCAGGACTGGACCAGCCTGAGAGAACCAGAAAGTGAAGCTCACAGTAACCCCTGGGGAAGCAGGGCAGTCCCCTGTCAGGATCTGCATCATGAATCTTAGCTCAAACCATTGTGTCGGAGCCTCCTGCCGCCTTGAAGGGGGTCAGCAGCATTGGTGAGATGGGTCGGTGTGTTCTGGTGTTAAATAGCCCGCATCTCCCATCGTTAACTGTAGAAGAGGTAAAAAATGAAGTCAGGAGGCGAGACATGCTGCAGCATGTCAGCCTCTGGAGTTGTTGCCAAGTTAAAACTTCATGAGTTTGGGAGGGAGAAGAGCTTAATGCGTTTTTATCCTTTTTCTTAACCACCAGGGAACTCGCTGTGTAGAAGAATGCTTGCTCGGCAAGCACGCTGCTTGTTCACCCCTTGGACACCTCCCCTGAGGTTTCTCCTTAGCCCTTCAGCTTGGTGTGGTGAATCGTTTAATGCATCTGGAGCCTTTATTTGGCCTTTCCGCACAGGGAGAAGTCAGGCGTGGTAGGAAGAAATCTGTTGCGCGCGTTTTGGGAGGAAACATCCTAAGATGCTCCCAGAGGTGGATGACTTGGGTCAGGACTGAGGAGTGGGGCTAAGAGAGCAACAGGCTCAGCCATCGGAAATAATCTGGGATGGTTAAGTCATTTGCAGTACAGAAAAAGAGAACACAAGGAGGGGGGTGGTAAGGAAGAGCTGTGACTGAAATCGGAGGTATGCTGCTGGCTAATGAGCTAATGCACTCATGACCGGGTTGTAAGGAAGCTTGTGCTTTGCTTAGATGATTTAGCAGACATCAGCGGGCTTGCTGTATAAAAAAAAAAAAAAAAAAAAAAAAAAAAATTTAACCTACAACTGGTTGGACACACTGAGATTTCCTTGCTGACCTTTTTAGAACGTATTTGCAAAACCTGGTTTTACTGTTCTGACAGCAGTTGTTTTCAAAAAAATTTAAATTCTGCCTTATTACTCTGTCCAGACAACTAATTAAATCAATTTCACTTTCTGGTCTCTGTATATAAATGCAATAAATCCCACCCATTTTGCACATCCTGCCTCTCCCCATCCTCACCCTTCAGTCCTTACTGGGGAACTGCGGACTGAACTTGCTCTTTGTGAAAACCTTCGTTTGCAGAACTTCATTAGGAAACATTTATTCTTTGTGACACGCTTTGAAAGCGCAGAGAGGTTTTCTAGAGCAGGCTTCATTTTAAGGCATATTTTTATACAGGAAATAAGCCCTTTTCCAGTCCTTCATCCCCTCCGGGACCGAGCCTGCCACCTCCCACGCTTCTCTTCAGGGCCCTGTGTTTAGCACTGCTTCCAAACTCGACTCTCTGCGGGTGATGTATGGATATACATACCCACCAGAATGGGTTCCACTGATGATCTGCATATGCTTCCCCTAAGCTGCGCTTCTGCTTCTGTCCGCGAGTGAGCAAGGACAGAGGCGACTGAGTCGTGCGGGAAAAAGTTTTTGTTCTGATTCTCAAATTTGCTTCCTTCCGAAAGAAAACAAAGTGAAGTTGTCTGTGAAGCCGATGTCCTGTGATGCGGCGGGTAGGCTGCTGGTGGTTGCTGATGCAAATGCAAGGGGAGCTTGATTGCCTTTCTGCATTAATCTTTTCTTCTTCCCTGTATGCGTTTTCTTTTTATCTGAATTGCACCACTATGGAATTATTTGCAGAATGGTACTCCAGATACATGCGGGATTTAAAAACAAAACCATAATTGATGCTGTGCAGGATGTCACTCAATTGGTTTTATTTTGCTTTATTTTCTATATATTTTCTGGTATCCTGTACATTGCAGTGGGTGTGAAGATAGTATTTTAATATTTGTACAAAGTTTAATTTAATTGTTCTATGTATATAACTGCATTTCTAAATTAAAAAAAATTCTTTTGAAGTGAAGCTATAATCTCTTGTGTGGTTTTTTTTTAAGTGCTTGGGCCTTGTGGAGTGGAAATCTGGCAGATCATAGGTTGCAGTACTGCAATGCCTTCCTTTGAAGCTACAGCTAGGGATGCTCAAATGGCTTGGGGAAGGAGGCGCAGAGCTGGTGTGGTCTTAAAAGGATCATTGGTTTCCAAAAATACCCCCCACTCTCAGAAGCAAAGGCCACCCTTGGTGTGGCTGCATGTGAGACTGCATGAGAAATGGGGCCGGGCTTGTTCAAGGGCCATTCTGGGAGGGCTGGGACCGCTGGAATATTACCTGGACCTGTTGTCTTGTCTTGGCTGACCTACAGGGCAGTTGTTTTTAGCAGATGCTCCTCAGCCTGCCTGAGAAGTCTCCTGATCCAACCTGCAGATGTGCTGCGTGAGGCTGGGCAAGGTATTTGTTTACTTTCTACAGCACTGTGTGCATGCGTAGCCATTTACTACTGTGGGGCAGAAAGACCCCCACAAGCTCTCCATCTCTTCCTCTGCTTCCCCCAAAGAAAACTGTTGGTGCAGTTTGAGTTACGTGGGAGGCAGCAGCAATGCTCAGTCAGCGACGGAGAGGAAGGATGGGAGCTGGGGGGATGGCACGGCGGTGCTCCGACAGCAGCGGTAGGAAGCGCGTGCCCGTTGGGTCTGTGCATGGGAAAAGGCAACAGCCATGCAGCAAGAGGGGCTGAACCTGCCTGGAGACATGGGCTGGGTGAAAGCCATGGGGGGGCCTCAAAGGAGGAATAAGGTTGGGTCTTGGTTTGATGTAAGGAGGGAAGATGCGCTTGGGGGAGTGTTTGAAGCAACTGCTGCCTCGTTGTCTTACCATCCCCTGCTTGCTGGGCTGGGAACCTGCATGGATGAGGACAGCAGCAATGGCCGAAAGCTGCCACCGTGTCCCCATCCACTGGCGGGGCCCTTGGGGAGGTCAGCCAGGGGAGGCCGGCCCAGTTGTTAACGATGGGAAAGGGGAGGGGGAGAAAGATTTAAAGAGATGAGGTATGGGCTTCAGAGAGGACAAAGGGGTGAGTGTGAGAGACTGCTAACTCATCTTGGAGCCTAGATAAGGACAGCCATATGTATAGGGAGATGATGTTATATTCAGAGGGAAAGTAGCTCTGACTGGCAAAATACTAATCCAAAGCGGGTAGGGGACATTGGAGAGGTCTTTCAAATGCATGGGTGCAGATAGCGTAGGGGTCAGGCTGGGCACAGGCTCTGCTCTTCCCTCTTCTGAGTTAGTCGTGCTGCGCTGGGAGGGTGGCAGAAGCAGAAACTGCAGAGGAACAGACACCCCTTGGTCGGTTAGTCCTATATACAGTCCTCAGTTATTGTTTGCTTTGCTTCAAAGACCTGAAGTAACATTGCCCTTCGAGGCAGGTGTACTAATGAGCGTTCCTTTCTTTTAAGGAAAGCTATTGGTAATGTCCTAGGAAAGGGAAGGAGGGAGGAGATCCTTTTGGCCAACTTGTTCAGAGCAAGGTCCTTAAAGCTGTTGGGAGATTTTTGTATACTCACATATATGATTTTTATTCTCTGTGGAGGAACAGGCAGGTTAAAGAGAAGGGAGGGGGTGACATCTGCCTTCCTCCCATTGCCATTTATTCCTTACATTATTCCCACACAGCAAGCTGATCTTACTGTAGTTCTGCCACTGCGAAACCAGAGCTCTGTGGCCTGTGCCTGCCCTCCTGTAGCAGGCAGCTGGCATGTGGGAGCTGGTGGCCTCCAGGAATTGCTCTTAAATTATTACTGTTTTTCACTGGGCTGCGGGTCTCCTGCCACAGCAATTCTAGCAGCCAGGAATGTGCCTTTCTTGTTGTCCTGCAGCTCTTATCTATTAGACACGTTGGCAATAATTTGTCACCTCTGGTTTGTGCCTGCAATGAGAAATGACCGTGGGAGCCAAGCCCGAGGGAAGGCAGCCTGAGGTGGGTGGTCTGGGAAATCCTCCTTAACTGTTGGCCCTTTGGCCGAAGGGTGGAAAGGCCAGGGCACGCAGGAGCACCTCTGCTTCCAGAAAAGCAGCCTCACCACAAAGCCACCAACCCCGCCACAAAGCTGCTTTGAGAAGCTTGCTCGGGAAGGGGATAGATGGGCTCCCGCCCTTCCCAGGCGTCCTGCCAGCCAGCACTGTGCTGCCCGGCTCCCAAACAGGATGTTCTGTACGTCTGGATTTTCCAGGAACACAAAGCTATAGACACACCAGCCCCATTAAAACCAGGGGCTTTAACTCTTTAACAGGACCGAGCACATCTGGAGCCTTTCCTTGCCACCCCTGGCTGCTGCGTGCCACATCATCGCCGTTGGAAAGCGTTGCGGTGGGACTGTGTTGCCACATGGTCCCTTGATCTACTGTAGCTTTGCCCCTGCCGGAAACCTCCCCTGCACTAACAGCTCTCCCAGCCTCTGACCTGTTTTTAGGGGTGTCACAAAATGCAGCATTTCCCCTCCTGAAAGCAGAAGGGTGCTGGCAGGCTACGTGCCAACAAGCCCTGTGCTTTGCAAGGCGAGTGTTTGCACGCTCCTCCTCACCCGCCAGGGCCGCGTAGGGGGCCCCTTCCAAGCAGGCTCTGGCCAGGACACGCTGCCAGCCCCATCCCTCATCGGCTGCGGTACTTGGCAAAACTGCAGTGGTCTCCCTCGGCACCAAGCTGGCATCCCGGCGTGCAGGGGAAGGGAGGGATGAACGCACACAATAGACTTTCCCATTCTCTCTGTTCCCTTTTGCAGGAGGATGATGTTTACCCACCAACTCCTCACCTTAACCTCTCGTGAGACCTGGGCCGTGACACGGCAGAGCTAAGGAGCCCTGAGCGTGGCATAAGGTGGCTGTCCTTTGGCAGCTCTCTGTCACCCACCCGCGCTGAGCTCAGGGTGGGTCTGTGGGACACAGCTCTGGCTTTTCATGTTACATCCATGAAAACAGATTTGGGGGCAAAAGAGTACAGACTGGTGCCAACACGCTGGCGTTCAAGGCACAAACCCCCTCATCTCCTTGTCTGCTTCTCCGGGCAGGCTGCTCAGAGCTCCCTGTAGCTACTTTAGGGGGTGGTGTTTGCAACCACGCTGTGTTCAGCAGCTCTGCCTGCAAGTGGGGTTTGTCTTCCAGGCCTGTGGATCCCAGGTGGGGCCAGGGGACCCACTTCATGGGGCAGACACGCTCTCCCTGTCCCCACGCGTGCTGAACCACGGTGCCCAGCAGCCCTGGGGCAGCCTGCAGCAGGGGCTGTGGGGAGCCGCTGGGCCCCTGGCCGGAGACTCGC